CCGGGCCAAGTCAGGAGGCAACCAGCCCAGATTAATTCTTCACACAGACGCTCGGTGAGTAATCACACTGCTTTCGAACTACTCTTGCTACGCTTGTTATTAACTTTTCAGCGCAGATAAGGAGGAACGCTCCGAACACGCCGAGCATCTTGCACGGAATCGAATTTTTCCAACATTTCAGATAATAGCTCGCTTTTATCGTAATCTGTTTAAAAACAGGGTCTCCGGCAATAAAGATAGGACTAGTTGATATCTGGTGGCTTACCGTGGTATAATTGAGGTGCAGCGAACAACGCTCTGGGTCAATATGTGGAAAATTTGAAGAACCATCGATTTCCAGGTTAAGAGCCGGCGACACACACGGCATTCCACTGCGGCGTACGTGAAAGCTGCACGGGTCATTCTGTGTCGAGGGAGTTATTTGTCTGGATCTGAGGACGCTCACGCTTCTTCAGCGGCGCGGAGATTGCCCTCATCAATTTAAGCCTTTTCTCTCTGAGGTCATTGTCATCAGATGGACCACGACACCGTGTCATTATGCTTACTCAACCCGTGTGTCGGTCCGGACAATACGCTCACTATCTACTCTGATTAAGAGCACCCGAGAGTTGAAGGGATTTACGATTTTAGCGTCGGAAAAACATTCCACCTCAGATGGACCCTCACAGAAACGGAGGCGTACACGGGCGGATTTACGCGAGGCAGTCTTGCACATCTTAAGTCCCGGGCTCATTGTGTTATTTCAACAACTGGGAGTCGTCGTGTTCGGCAAGCATCGCAGACGACAACAGGGATTAGATTTGCGCCCGTTACACAGCATCCATTACCTACAGTACATCGGCGGATGTGTTTTGGAAGTGTCACCGGCTGTAAAACATCTCTCCCTCAGCACCGAGTCCCATCGCCCTGGGGACAGCCAGACGGATCCATTAACAGTGACCTTTTCACAACCCCACTGCCGTCTTCCCATCCCAGCAAGATCATCTGCAGAAGCCTGCGGAAAAATTATTACTCGGAAGCCCTTGCGAAAGCGAACAGGAAAATCGACGTACACAAAAACACGGGAATATTTTTGAATAGTCTAGAACAGAATGAGAACCTCCGCAGCGAACAGGAATATTTAAAGAAATAACTAGATACAAAAGAACTAAGATATCTGATGCTGTTGAACTGGGAAGTAACACTCAGACCTCTATTATTCTGGTGCTCGTATCTCATGAGAAGATAAATGAAGCGCTCCTTTGCGCGTACCCTCAGCATTTTAATTAGCTGCTCTTTAATTCCGCCTGACCCTCGTTCAACTTTGATCAGCCAGTAGTAGCAGCGATAAGAAGCCGCCACTCAGTTGCGCGGCCCAGGGTTGCACCACGACAACGGCCTCGTCTTCACCCGTTCCGAGGTTCCATAGTACATAAATCTGCCAGCTGGACGTACAGTGGATATAAAAAGTCTACACAACCCAAAATGTTTTTGTCATGTGAAAAATTTTACAAAGATAAATGCCAGAAGTTTTTCCACCTTTAATATGACCTATAACGTGAACACTTAATTGAAAAACAAACTGAAATCAGTTTCAGGGTCTTGGCAATCTTCTTATAGCCTAGGGAGACCAACAATAGATTTTTTTCAGACCCTCAGAGAGTTATTTGCCATGAGGTGACTTTCAGTGACCAGTATGAGTGTGAGAGCGATAACACAGAACACACCTGCTCCCCATTCACACCGGAAACCTTGTAACACTAACGAGTCACATGACACCAGGGAAGGAAAATGGCTAATTGGGCACATTTTGGACATTTTCACTTAGGCGTGAACTCACTTTTGTCGCCAGTGGTTCAGACATTAATGGCTGTGTGGTGAGTTATGTAGAGGGGACAGTACATTCTTGACCTTTTTTTTTTTTATCCGCCCACTCGTCTTTGCAAAAGCGCTCCAAATCTGTCAGATTGCGAGGACATCTCCTGTGCACAGCCCTCTTCAGATCACACCAGATCTCCCCAAATAACCTGGCACTTTTTCAGGGGTGTGTAGACTTTTCTTAGCGAGCAGACACATGTCAGGCCAGGGTCTAGTAGCTAGGCAGCATCCCTGGCTAGATGTGCCAACATTATTTATCTGGAAACTACTCGCTAAAATGAGTACACAACAAAAGCCATCCAGACGAGGAGACAAAATCCCGCTTACCTTCCCCTTTTTCACGCCCTGTACAGCCCAACTAATTGAAATATAGAACAAATTGGTTTAACGGAGAACAAGTGGGCGGGAGCGAACATCCTCTCACTGATATCCATAGTGACTTACAAAACGAAACAATCAAATTAACGCCACATTCAACTTTTATTAAATGGACATTCTAAATGTTTGCAAATATTTACCAAAATAACCACCATCACACTTCAAGCCCACTCCCACTTAAAATACGTTTAATCAACAAATATCACGCATTTGTACAAATGTTAAAAGATTCCACCAGAAACGAGTAAAATCACCTCATAACTAAACCAATATTAAGTTCACAGCTTATTATGTGACAATTATTACATTATTTAAAGGCGTCAGGTGACTTCAGCCAAGCATATTATTGGCCGCTCACTTATACCCGTAATGAATGAATCATGGCCTGCTCCTGTATGCCAGGTATAATCAGAGACCAGTGGAGTTCGGATGGGGAGAGAGCACCATGAAGGTGTCAATGTGTATTGCATCTCCCTCCTCCAGACCCACACCACCTGCAGCCGGCCCGGCGGACTGACTGCTCGCGACGACAATGAGATCATTTCATGTCAGTCATACGTCCTGGTTTGCTTTTACACCTTTAGCTCCTAGCGCAGCAAACGACCCGAACGCCACACAGTCTGAACGCGTCGGGCCGGAACCATATGAAGGTTCTACCTCCTTTAAATGCATTTGTTCTTCTGTGGAAGGCGCCATCTGCCAGATGGGAACGCCGACAGACTTATATTCCACTGATGAAGTCAAACAGCCAGGCGTCTTCACAATTGGACCCACAAATATTGAGAGAACTATATAAACACCACTGGGCAAACAAGTGGATCCAACAGAGTACCAGTGGGCAATAGGACGGGCCCCAGGACGGACAACAGAGCATCAGAACAGCCCGGTATTGCACATGGATACACAGTCTGTATCAGAGGCCATGATGTGGTGCACAAGAAAATAGGATTTTTAAAAATATATATAATATATAATAAAACAATTGACCGTGACATCAGGCAAAAACAATACACAGGATGGAAGCAGAATTGTAAAGCATTCACCCGGATGCTTTGACCTTCACTCCCTCATCCTTTCCAGTTTGATCTCCTGAGAACGTGAGAGACCGTGCACTGTAAGTGACCAAAAAAGGGGTGAAAAACATTTATGGTAAGAGATAAAACTGCTGATTACACACCCGTATCCACAAGCCAGTGATCGTATCTATTAAAACGAGCACCTACATGGGACAGTCATGACAACCATGTTGCCGTTCTGACACACGCACACACACACACACACACACACACACACACACACACACACACACACACACACACACACACAGCCAAACACATTTGTACTCATTCAGACGGTACTCTGAGGTAAACCACTTCCCTTCTCCAGCTAGCCAGGGCAGACTCCCCCCACCCCAACAAATCTTTCAGTGGGATGTTCCCCGTCGTACAAAGTCCTCTTTTACAGAGCGGCAGACGGAAATCTGTTGGGCTTATCTCCTGCGCTCAGGTTCAGGAATAAAAGCTGGAGACCCCAGCTGCAGCAGAGACCTGATGAGTTCAGCGACCGCACGCTGCAGACTGAGTCAAATCCACTCGGCAGCACGGCAGTTTGTCTTTAACGCAGGGACCAGAATGCCGTGCAGCAACTGAAGAACCACGGAAAGGCAATGCGTGCTAGACAATATGACAATTGCTATGATGATTATAAATGGGAAAACGCATCCACAGTATCTGAAACGGAATGATAAGCGGGGAACATTACGCAATAAAGCGTACAATATGAAATTGAAAAATACCTAGACCAAAGTCAACAAAAAGTCAAAGTTAGTGAATGTCACGTTGTGTTTTTTACATTATGTTTGTAGATTGAACCAACGAGGCATGCAGGATGACTACGGGTATTTAAAGAAATATGAAAAGGCTGTTCTGCAGCGCATGAATTCTTACAGACATTTTGTGTGCCGATACAATAAACAGTTTGACACAATATGTGTTTTTCCCCCCCCTGAGAAGCAAATATGTGTGCGAGTGTGTGTTTCTACAGGTTACTGTAACCTGGTTGGAATCCCCACAAATACAGTAAACAAGGAAATGTTATCTACCGGGGAAATATAACAAAACGACCAAATCGACAAAAATGAATATGGCTGTTGTTTTGAGCGAACGCGGCCCACTGCTCAGCAAAAACAATCTGTTTTTTTCCAACCTTTCTGTCAAATAAAGCCTGATAAGTACTGATAAAACATATCTTAACAGGCAGTTGTTTGCATTTTCCCTGTCAGAGTTGACAAATTGATTGTAAGTTAATTTCAATAGATGTTAGAGCGCTTACTGTTGAGTAAAGCACCTATTCGGATATCTCACTTGTTTGTGCAGTAAATTTACAATGTGCTGATATGGAATCTGAACAGTATTACTTATCTCAGTAGTTGATATAGTCTGGCTCATTTCGCATTTCTGCTTCCTTACCCCGATGGCCACTCACACCATTTGATTTGACAGGTGGGTGGGACTTCCGGTTTGGTGGGTGGGACATCCTGTGCAACGTATGCTAAGGCTGGAACTATCGTTATGACATACGAATGTCCGGTAAATGACATATGACGGGGTGTTTGGTTTGACTATGTTTTTATTATAAAAACTGTGTTGTGTTTAGATGTTTGATGTTTTGCAGAGTCGAGGGAACGCGTGCATTTGAAGACATGATAAATAAAGGAAGAACCCGGTAGACCGATTGAGAAAAAATTCTCATTTGCAACAACAACCTGGGGAGAACCTGGGGATTGAACCCAGGACATCATACATGCAGGGCATGCACTCAACCAGAGCTACCCCAATTACACCTTAGAATTAAATGTTTCAATTCCCATTTTGAAATGTTAAAACAGAATGACATGAAACAATTTGCAATCAACAATGATGTCAAAGCGAGTGTTGTAGAAAGATTTAAAGAAACAATTAAATGATAAATTAACCCTTGTATCGCAAAGAAAATAAAACCCATCAACCAATCTGGAGATTTCCTACTAAACATACTAAGCATTCATGGCCATTTATAAGTACCCTTCATAACCAGTCTAATTGTATCAAGACATAAGTAAACAACATGAGTCATGCTCAGAATTGTATTTATTGGTGACAGCGCATCAAAAATGACAAGGATCCAAAAGGGCTAATCAGATGCAAGACTGTGTGACTATTATTAGACAATGGAAGCTTGACACAAATAAAGTGCCTGTAAATCTGCCAGGTTCTGAGACTGAGGGGGATGTAGCAAGCATCTGAGACGAAACGTTGACCGAAATGTGACCCTTATTGATGATATTTAGGACAACCAGCCCCGAGAGGAGCAAGCCCAATGTTGAATATATTCCTAATGGGATATTCAGGTGGAAAGATTTGACTTCACGGACATCAAACGGCAAATGTATCTTTAAAGTACAGGTTGTTAGGGGCTCACACCTGAGGGATCTGGTTAAAAGTGTGACAGCTACTTCCAAAATTGCTGCGTCTAGAAGACTGTTGGGTTTGGGGGGGGGGGTTAAGAGGCCATTGCATGTGCCTTTCAAAGGAACTGGTTAGAAATAACATTGATTTCTAAAAACTACTGCCTGGTGATGATACACACGAGCATTTAGCCACACCCGGGACCCCTAGTTCTGGAGTGCACAGTACAGTGGCTTCTGCTTGTGTTTATTAATCAACCAAAGCTTTGTTTGCCTCGCCTGTCATAGACCTCACACAACAGCCTGCACGGCAGCGATATGTGGTCGCCTGTAGACAACGGCCCAGGCCACTGCGGCCACACAATTTGCTTTTATTTATTACAATAAAGCAGGAATACACATGACATTTATTTTTACATTACGTCTTTTCTTTTTAACTACCACGACACAACTGAAATGATTCACGAGAGTGAGCAAAGGGTGCGCAGTAAAATGTGTAAAGAGAGAAGTCAGACGTGTCAATAGCCAAGGTTTGGTCCTTCCTTTTTATTCAGAAATGCATTTCCAAAATGTACCCCTGATATCTGGGCTAGTAAGGAGTTTTCTGTCTGTTTTCATTTTTAGGAAAAGCCCCCAAAAATAGGCGGAACTGAGAAAAATGTTTATAGCCACAGTGCAACACCATACAAATTCAACAAAGTGTGCGAAAAAACCTTACGCTTATGTTTAGCCAATACCCTAAACCTGAAACAAATTTGATGACACACGTACATTTCGTTGTGTCCCTATATTTATGTTTGCTCTAACATTTTAAACCTTAAAAGCAAATTTCAGCTCAGAGCCCTGGCTTGGATGCCGGTGATCTCAGCCCAGCTGAGCGAGAGGGTGTCTTTCTTCCAGCAAGTAAGGATTTCAGTTTAGACATCGTGACAACAACAGTGTGCGATGTGCTTCGGATGACACAAATCTTGACATTGAGATTCGATGCAATACAGCCAGCAGCAGCTTAATCCGATAATTTTCTCAAAAGTACAGTTTATTATATCTGTTCATCTAATTGTATAATTATTGTGCATCAAATATATGATAAATATATGATAAACGACCCTACTGCAATAGAGATAAAGATTGCCCTTTATACCAGCCAAATGACAAGCAAACTGCACAACAAATAAAGTAGATTCTCAAAAAATCACTCTGGCTCGTAACGACAATTACATGTTTTTCTCAGGCGACACGTTTGAGACTGATTATTCTACGAGTAACCATGGTAACAGTCTTAGGCATCGTGAAATGTGACCGTTTGACAGGGAGAGAGCCATTCTCACATTACAATCATTTCCCTCATTTTTATTTAAGTAGAATTTAGACTAAACACACAACAATTATTTTGAAGATTTTCATCAGTATAAACCTTTATCTATACAACTTATATATGATGCTGAGCCAGTGGGCGTTTATATAAATAATCTTTCTGACCACTGTCATTTGGTTTTCTCAGCTGTTTGTCATTGGTAAATCACTCTACCTATACAAAATACATGGAGCCCCCTAGCCAATTTCAAAAGCCCCATAGTCACTTTTTCCAGGCACAGGCCTAGATAAGTTCACTAGTAAAATCTCCAGCTTGAACACATTTCATTGAATGACCATATCTGGAAAACACAGTATCTGCAGGTTTGGGAGAATCCAGATCGTCTTTGTGTCAATTTGTCAATTTAAGCCCTTGAATGTGGTGGCTTTATCCGGGCATTTAACAGAACCTGAAAATCCTTATCTTTGGCTAAAAAAAGACTCTACAGAGGCAACTTTGGATTTGTCTCTTAAGACGCACATATAATGGCTTTTAAGACATAGATCTGAACCGAGCCAAGCCGAATGAAGCTGTGCTGAGCTGACATGGTTACGCAACCACCACTATGGCTGTACGTGTTCAGAAAAGGACAATGCAAAAACGAGGAATAAAAGTGAGTATTTCAGGCAGCACTGTTACGTTCAGTTAGGCAAGTCAGTGTAAAACATGGTAGTAACTAATACATCTAAGAACTTAATTCAGCACTATAAGCACCACTTGGCAAGTCCATGATGCTATATTTGCTATTATAGTGGCCTATAATGTTAAATATGTCAGTGTGGGCGTTGTTGTGCAAAGGTGAATGTGTGGTGTTTCTTGGTTGTATGTCCGTATATTTCCAGGCAAATGTAGGCTCAGTCCCTTCCAGTCATGTCCTGCCCCACGGCAAACTAGCCCCTGGCTTATTCTGGTGGTAATGCACATACAGCATGTGTTCAAACTCAATAAAAACCATGAATAAAAGGAGTACATCATGAATACGCATGAATAAAACGACGCCGTTCCCCCGCGGCACTTTAGAAGTTAGGAAATGCTACTCGGGACAAAGTGCTTCCGTCCCCCTCGCGCTGCTTGCGTGGCTCACAGGGAAAAAACATGACGCGTCAGCTCTGGCTTCCCTTAACATCTACCCAGAGTATCCTGTATCTAGCCGAGGCCCCCCCCTCTGCAGACCGCCTTTCTTTAATTCCCCAACCTTTAAAAATGTGATGTCTGCAGCACAATGCGATGCACGGACAAACGGCGTGGCTTTCCTTCCGCCCCCTCTGGCACATTCATCCATATTCACAGTGGCAGCTACGACCGGCCATAATACAGCCCACAGATAACCAGTGGCTGGACGCCGGGGGGCTCCTTTCCCGGGCCAAAGCGTTATTGAGGGGAACGAGTGAGCGGAGGCCGATTAAGGGACATCACATACCTTTGATCTCTGGAGGCTTGGGCTCTAATACATTTTAAAGCGCAGCGGGAAAGCAGACAGCGTTGAGGTGAGACTCCCGCGTGCAGCAGCTCCTATATGGCTATCCACATCCCAGACACCCGTCTCACCACGGCTCAGGTTGGGAACGCCTGGGACTTCCTGTTGCTGCAGAACACAGGGGACAAGACAAGGAATTTACCCAGGAATCAACCCAGGGACTCACACAGGAATCAACTCAGGGACCCACCCAGGAATCAACCCACCCAGGAATCAACCCAGGGACCCACCCAGGAATCAACCAAGGAATCAACCCAGGGCTGACAAAACACATCACTTATTTAGATAGAGCCCTCCATTGCTAGGGTCTAGTGGTTCAAAATATCATGTCCATAAAAATATAACAACCTATTTGCTCTGAAAATAATATTTGTTGGAGCTTAGTAATTATTTTATATACAAATAAGCATTTAATTTCCATTCTTTAATCATAAATACACACTGTTTGAAAAATAAAATGTTTACTCTGGGAAGTCGGATGAGTTGAACTTATTAGATATAATTATGTAGCTGAAAACCAACCAGGGGTTTGAATCAACGCCATCTGTGCGCCACTTGAAGTGCACAAAAGGTTGTCACCGGCAGTTCCCGGAGTGTTGACGTGTGGACACAACATCAGCTCCCAATACAGAGCTCGCTGCTCACACAGGTTCCTCCCAGAGGTGAGAAATGCCTCCGTTTCCATGGCAACTGAACTATTTCAAACTCTTGATCTGGAAGCGTCCACTTTAACGTTGGCTCGCGGACACTCTTATCGCGCGCTGCCAAGGTGGACTCCTGAGGCAGCAGGTAGTACGCCGGGACACTCGTGTACACGGGGGACTTCTGGGTTCTGTTTGTCATTAATCAATTCTCTGCACACCTTTGATGTACTCCTATTTGGGATGTACACCTGTTTTTATATGTATGAACTGTGCCGTGGTCCAGACCAGAGGAAACGCTTCCAGCCACCGGTCTCTCTGCTGAACCGGTTTCCCTCAGATTCCAACTGACTCGATAAATTACTTAGCAACAGTCCCCAAATTCGAGGACGTTTTCTTAGAATTTCAGGAATATGGTTACCTAACGTCATGCTGCTGTCTGTTGCATCTGCAGAAAGTAGAGTACATTGTCACAATGTGGCTGAGACCATAAGAAACCCAGAGAGACTTGTATAAGCGCCTTTAAATGTGTGCTAAATCAAACTGTTGGAAACAGGAGAAAAAGGAAACAGACTATTGAATATGAACCCCAGAAGAAAATACTTTTTTTTACAAATTGGGCTCACAGAGTACAAACAGATGGTTGATATTATAAATATTAAGAAATTGCAGATTGTTTAAATGCGGAGAGGAACTGGCACTCCCCGAAATCATTATTTACAGATTGTATATGTAAGGACTAGTGCAATGTGAAATATAAAGAATTACTGTGTACGCTAGCACAGTTAGGTTCAAACATTAGCATTCGGCACCTTTCCTAAGGCACTCCGAAACGCATATGAATTCTAAACAGGGGGTATGTTGGGAGTATGTTGGGGGTATGTTGGGGGTATGTGGATGTTATATACACAACCAAA